TGACATCTAATTAAACTTAAGAGTTTCTGCACAGCAAAAGAAACAACCATCAGAGTGAATCAGCAACCAACAGAATGGGAAAAAATTTTTGCAATCTTCCCATCTGACAAAGGGCTAGTATCCAGAATCTACAAAGAACTAAATCACATTCATAAGAAAAAAATTAACAAACCCATCAAAAAGTTGGTAAAGCATATGAACAGACTCTTTTCAAAAGAAGACATTTATGCAGCCAACAAACACATGAAAAAAAGCTCATCATAACTGATCATTAGAGAAATGCAAATCAAAACCACATTGAGATACTATCTCATGCCAGTTAGAATGGCAATCTTTAAAAAATCAGGAGACAACAGATGCTGGAGAGGATGTGGAGAAATAAGAACACTTTTACACTGCTGGTGGGAGTATAAATTAATTCAACCATTGTGGAAGACTGTGGTGATTCTTCAAGGATCTAGAAATAGAAATACCATTTGACCCAGGAATGCCATTACTGGGTATATACCCAAAGGATTATAAATCATTCTTTATAAAGACACATGCACATGTATGTTTATTGCAGCACTGTTCACAATAGCAAAAACTTGGAACGAACCCAAACGCCCATCGATGGTAGACTAGATAAAGAAAATGTGGCACATATACACCATAGAATACTATGCAGCCCTAAACAAGGAGGAGTTCATGTTCTTCGCAGGGACATGGATGAACTGGAAACCATCATTCTTAGCAAACTGACACAAGAACAGAAAACCAAACACCACATATTCTCATTCATAAGTGGGTGTTGAACAATGAGAACACAGGGACACAGGGAGAGGAACATCACACATTGGGGCCTGGGTTGTGGGGGGATAGGGGAAGAATAGCAGGGGGTCGGAGATTAGGAAGGGATAACATTATGGGAAATACCTAATGTAGATGGTGGAGAATGAATGCAGCAAACCACCACCATGGCACCTGTATACCTGTGTAACCTGCATGATCTGTACATGTACTTCAGAACATAAAGTATAAATATATATATATAGAAAATCCCACCATATATATATATTTATATATATATAGCTAACAAAATAATTAAAGGAACTCAGAAACCAGTGCTAAGTGCTGAAATTATTGCCTTCTTTTCAGAACCAAATGCACCATAATCTTTTTACTTGTTATTCCTCATCTTTTGTCGATACTCCAAAAGGTGTTCAAACTATAGAATATAAAACACAACGCATTCTTTTTGGTACATTTAATCTTATAAAAACAAGTTTTAAAGCTGTGAATTTACATCAGGACAATTGAAAATGTTATGTTAAAGTTTTTGAAACCAAATTTAATTCTTAAGACTCATAAAATTTCGAAGTCTAAATCTTAATTCTGTTTTTGTTTTAATGTTTGTTTTTGATTTCTCTATTTTTAAATACAAAATATAGTTGGTATTCAGAAGAACCTCTTTAATTTAATTCTCTTTCCTCTGAAGGATAAACAGATAACCTAATTATACCTTTTTTAGGAACTGCATAAAATATAAACATTCAAAATAAACTGCTGGAAATACTCTAAAAAATGTACATCGGAAAAGTTTTAATTTCATTTCTTCTTCGATAACATAACCAGTAATTATATCTTGGTTACTTTGTTTCTTTGTATGGAAGCCTTATGTTTCAATGTGCTTTGACTTCTCTTAGACTGTCTCAGAAATAAAGCCTTTAGAACTCTAGTTTCAATTACTAGTGTGAGTGAAGTGTTAGGAAGAAAGTAAAAAAAAAAAAAAAACTGAAAATAATTAAGCTAAAATTATCTATTAGTGAATGTGCCAATGTTTTCCCTAGCCTCAGTGATGTGGCTAAGTCCAATGAGACAAAGTCTTACTAAGGAGAGATGTTAACTTTTTTGAAAAAGTTGTTCCCTGAGTCCTTCCAATTCCTAATACATATATTTACTGGTTTTATTTGTATCATTAATGTATATCATTAATGTTTCAAGAGGTGTTTAAAATAATTCTCAAGAAAGACAATTTAAGCTGTTTTCCATTTCAGGGTGAAGCCAGTTGTAACATTTTATTGTTACAATAAAAATAATTCCCTCTCTACACTTGCTCTTGAATGGTATCAGAGATTATGTGTCTGACTTTATGATTGCTGAAAAGATGGACAATATATCCTCAAACTTATATGTTTAGCTTACATAAGTTTAGCTTACATCCTGTATGTAAAGGCAGTAGCCTATATATAAAATAAATGATGTAGATGGCAAAGTTGGGCGATGGTTACTTTTCTCTACTCTTCAGAAATTCTCTCCTTACTATAAGCCCCTCTTTCATGAATTCTAGTTTCTCAGTAGGTCTCATTATGTATCCTATTAAACTAATCTTAAGTTATAGAGAAGTGGCAGACTTTGACTTTAGTGGTAGGTACATTTGCTTTTCAAAAGTCCATATCTCGTTTATCGTTGCTAAGAAGCTTGATCTCATGGTAGTAAATTTTTTTCTTGAACTTGCTTACACTAAAAATATAAAGAATGGTGTCACATGCTGCCATTTGAAGAACCTATGCATTTTGATTATTCCTAGAAATTTGGGGAAAGGGACTGTGATGATGGAATTTCAATTATAATGCTGAATGAATTGGGGAAAATAATTATTCATTTTGTCTTTTATATTACATAGATATCTGTTTATCCTATTTGACTTTAAAGCTAACTCTGCTTAAATGTTTTATTCTAGCTCTGCTATTATATCCACTAACTCAACTACTTTTTGATCACTTAAGAGAAGAAAAAGAAAGAAAATATTGTAACTGACTCAAATAACATTCTAAAATTGTTGTAGTTGTTTTTCTCACAAAATGTAATTTCCCTTATATCTCTATGACAGAATGTTGCATTCAGGGGTAGGTGTGTGTGTGCACATATATACAAGTGCCCAAGTTAATGCTCCCGGTGAGGGTAAAATGAAAAGTACTGAATTCTGTGAGTGGTGATGAAACCAGTGACCTCACCCTTTTGCCCCTTCAAAGATTCTCTTCCTCTTCCTCCTTTAACCACCAGCCCATCAGAAGACAAACACTCTGGGCTACATCTGCAAGAGTAGATGACATTATCTGGTGTGTTTGCTCTCAGTGCAAAAGCCACCTGAATAATATGGGAAACACAATCAACAAAGTATATGTGTAGAAAAAATAGGAACTGAATTTCTTCCATAGCTAAATAGGACAAATATGTATATATACACGACAATGTTCTCATCTATCGGAATGGCTATTACAAGCAGACTAGTAGTTATTAGAATGAGAGCCATAGATACATGACCCACCAACAAAAAGCAAGGTCATAGAACTTTTAGAAAAGAAAATCTTATAGAAATGTAGTACACATTTTAAAATTAATGTTTAAATTCTCATTTCTGTGAATGTATTGACATTTGTTATTAAAAAATGTAATGCATGTATACATAATAGATACCATTTTTGAGAGCTATGAAATGTCTGACACAGATCTTCATAGGTATTTCATATGCATGCATTATCCCTTGTAATATTTCTAGAAATATCCCAATTTTTAATGCAAGGAAAATGTGACAAAGGTAGGTAAAGTGATTCATTCAAAGGCATAGAACTAGTAAGTTAACAGAATCCGAACTCAAACTGACTGAGTCACAATCCACTTGTTTACATATTAGTTATGTGAGCTTTCCACATAGTGCATCAATTTATTCTTGTTTAATATGTCTTGATTAGACATAAAAACAAATTTTTAGACAGACGATTTTGAACTACAGTGAAATCTAAAGACGAAATTAGATCTAGCTAATTTTCCCACTCCTTTCCTTTAAACTTACATATGTATTTTTAAAACATTTATCAATTATACAAATAATTATCATTAAAAACTAGCTCATCTACTAAGTTATTTAAACATAACATGATGCTTTAAATTTTCACTTGTTGTAAGGCAATCTGGTTATATATAAACTGCTTTGATTTGATGACAGGCAATTTGGGGCTACAGGGAACTCCTTAATATCCAGCAGTTTCTATATGTATTAGACCTTAAGAAAATAATGAAAGCACTCAGAAAAATCCTGCTATCCTTATTTGAATGCAAATCTTACCAACCTAATTCCAAACTGAGTTCCTACACTATATATAAATATATATATTTTTTCATTTTGCATACATGCAGCAACCCTTTTTTATTTCCTTAACATAAACCCTCTCTAAAAGAGAATTTTCAAGTTCTCTTTGAATAGATGTTAGAAAAAGTGGGCCTTCCACAGGCAAAGCATTGCATAATGAACTTAGATTCAGATGTTCTTGAATGAACCAGTGAGGCCAGCAATCCACTTGTAGAGTCTAGGCTGTAAATATTAACTGTGTCACTCCCATGGTGGGGTGGGGAGACATGGTATTACAAGTAATTGTGGCAAATCATATTCTCTTTCTAGATTTTCTTCTCTCTAATTTTGGATGAGGGATACTGGTGTGGATTATATGATTTCTAAAGTTATATTTAGAATGAAGCTTCTATAATTTCTATATGATTTAATCTTATAGAAATTCTTACTTTCTTTGAAGAATAACTGTCCTTCTTTTAAGGATAAAGCAGCTGAAATCCAGCAAGCTCAAAAGCTTACTGAGCAGCTTAGATGATCAGCAGCAATAGTATAACTGGAGGAGTTTTCTCTTACCCCACTTGCAGGGCATGCAATGGGAATGTGGATTGCTTTTTAGGTGCTTGCAGCTCAGACTCCTAGAGGGAGCATCCAGAGGGGCAGGTCTTAGGGAGTGTGGGCTTGGACCACACAGGCGTCATCTCTGGTTAAGTGTTTACAGCCTCCAAAGCCCCAGTGGGCACGTGTTATAGTGTGCTCTTTCAGCTTTACGATCTACAGGTAGCTTGTGTTAATAAGCTCAATTAGCCTGCTGCCTTATTGCAAGGACAGGTGCTTTCTATATCCCAGGTTCTTTCCCTAGTGTACCAGAAAAATTGGATCACACATGGGCTTGGAGAATGAGTGCAAGGTTTTATTGAGTGGTGAAAGCTTTCAGAAGATGGATAGGAGCCAGAAGCATGGTGGAGTGGGAAGGTGGCCTTCCCCTGGAATTCTGTTGTTCAGTGGCCAGGATCTCCTCCCACTGTCCTGGGTGAATTTCCTTCTGTGTCCACATCGTTCCACCATCGATGATCTGTGGCATCTGTCAGTGTGCTCTTCTGCCAGCGTGTTCCTCTTGATGTCCATCCACTGTGTCTGTTCCCGCCAGGTTCTTGGGTTTTTGTAGGGACAGAATGGGGGAATGGTGGACCAGGGTGGTCTTGGAAAATGCAACATTTGGGCCCGAAAACAGAGGTGTCTGTCCTTACTTACATCCGTGGGCAAAGGCCTGAGGGTGGAGCGAAGCAAAGGTAGTATTTAAAGTGAAGGACATGGCTAGAGTAGAGCATCTAAAGGACCTCCCATTCCCTCCCCACACCAGCACCCCCAAAACTCCCCATCTCCACATAAAATCACACACTCAAATACCTACACATCTACCCAACCAAACCCACATGTTTAATCACACATATTAATAACTATACATATATAAACCTACACTCAATAGTAGCAGAACCATCCAGATTGGAACCTAAAAAGATGAATTACTGACAATCCATGTTAATAACTGAAGATCTGGGGAAGGAGATAAACAGATTAGAGATATTATTACTAAGCCCTTCATCCAATATGAATTCAGTATATGATTTGGAAAATGTGAACAAACCTACCCCAAAGACGTGTTTTGCACATTTTTCTAAACTTGGTATGTGTTTGTACATGTGTCTGTGTATGCATGTGTGTGTGACTGCATATGTATGTTTCTGTAGCTAAGTAACATTGTTTAATGATCAAGTAAATCTATCCCTTTTAATGTAAAATTAGAGTGCTACAGTTAAATATATAAAGTTTTTGCTCTAAGTTTCTTTGCAGAAACCCCTAACCTTGGTGGTCTGAAGATGAAGTCATGAAGGCAAAGGAAAACCTTGTTGTGGGACTACATTTTCTATAGGTCCATTCTCTGATCTTGACCTGGAGAGATTTTATGCCAAGGATGAGAAGATGCTGTTTTCCAAGAGATTTGAAAAAGCAAGTCTCTAAAGAAAACTGAAATGCTTTACTCCCAAATAGGTATTTACATTGCTCCCTTGATCAATGACACATTTTCAAGCTGCTTGGCCCTATGTCTTGGTTCTTTAGAAATCGTGAAAGATGAGACTTTTGAGACACCTTGAAGTTTGATTATAACCAATGAAAAAGATTAAACAAACCTATCTTGTACTTTGTTAACTTTATTATTTTTAAAATTGCTGCCATAACAGGAACAAAAAACCCCCCAAATCACTCTATTAATATGCATTGACATAGACAGGCAAGAACATTGTATTCACTAAATTTCTTCTTTTATTTAGATTTTAACTAATGAATAGTTAAGATGTTTACAACTGAATCTTACTCCTTTTTTATTGGCTTATTAGTGTTACAAAACATTTGGTCCATCTGTGGTAGTAGACCACTATATATATATGTACAGACTGACACAATATTTAAGGTACACATATACATATACATATTAAACCTCTACATACTTGTTAGAAAGTCACAATGTTTTCTTTATCATCATGTCCTTAACTTAAAATGGGAAATTTTAAACCATATTCAGTCATTGCACTTCTTCACCCTTATAAGTATGCCTTTTAAAAGAGCATTTTGAATGTCTTTCCTGAGCTTAAGGCATTTTAGCATTCCACTGAGTATAAACTATTTTGGTGTGATGCTCATAAGAGACGCATTAAGTCAGCAATAATATGATTCTATTAGTGCAGTTAATATTTTTATTAAAGATAATAAATCCTGTACTATGACTCTGGTGTGCTTTGTATTTTTTCCCAAAATGCTATTACATTTTATTTGATCTTGTGAAAAAGATATTAAAATAAAAAATATACGTTCTTAGTATAATATTGAAGGCAATAAATGCTAGGGAGATGTAAATATATTTTTAAAAATATTTATCTATTTTCAAAATTTTAAATTATGTTGTAAATAAGTTTTTGAAGGAGCTGAAACACACAAGTACAATAATTAGACTGATATTATTCAATATCTTAAAATAGGTCAAAGAGCTGCTTCTTGAAAAGACCTTAAAGCTTAGAGTGCAACAAAACAGATACTACATATTTGGCAGTGTTTAAACATTTATTCATTATTATTCATGCTTGAAATAGATTGTTAAGAAGGCAAAAATTTCCAAAATTTGGAAATAAGCAAAATTATAGTGGAGTATCCTTTCAGTGTTTTACTAAAGCTTAGCGGGTAGGTCTAACAGTCCCATTCAAAGATTAATTTGTCTGTGGTTATGCAGTTTTCTTTAACTTACTATTTGCTATTGTATAGGATATTTTACAACTCTGTAAAGGTTGATATTAACTTGTAGAAAAATGATAATAGTGCAAATGATATTTATAAAATAGTAAGTAAAATGGATTTGGTCCTGTAGAGATACAAATGATTTATGCCCTAAGAAAAGATAATTCCCAAAGTTTACAGTTTTATTTCCTTGTGGAACATTAACCAGTATTGGGTCGATTTTGGCATTATTATTTTGTACTCTTTCTTTCAGTACCTATTAATAACTTTATTTCTCCTACACTCCTTTGAACTAACATTTCCTTTTAGGTGTTCCGTAAACGCATTATTTAAGTAAATATTTAAAACACACTCGTCTTTCTATATTTGTAAGAAAGTTATGTTTGTTTAGTTTATTTTAACCTTTTAGAATCCATATTTTAGCCAGGCACAGTGGCTTACCCCTCTAATCCCAGGACTTTGGGAGGCTAAGGCAAAAAGATTGCTTGAGTCCAGGAGTTTAAGACCAGCCTGGGCAATATAGTGAAATTGCATCTCTATTTAAAAAAATAAACAAAATTAGTAGGGTGTGGGGGCTCATGTCTATAGTCAAAACTACTTGGGAGGCTGTTGGGAGAATCACTTGAGCCCAGGAAGTGGAGGCTTTGGAGAGCCAATGTTGTGCCACATACTCCAGCCTGGGCAACAGAGCAAGAACCTGTCTCTTCTAATAATAATAATAAATTGTAAAGAAAATGAAAGAAAAGAGAAATTTATGTTTTAAAACACTTTTCTTTACTTTGTTCTTCCCACTTTAGTAGAGACACATATGAAGCTGAAATTGCATTCCATCTGCTGCTGCACCTTTCTAAAATACTACTTTAAGGCTTACTCTTTCTAATTACTTATTATAACTTATTAAGTCTCTTTTGAATTACATTTTCCATTACTATTTACTTTCAATTATCTTGAATATTTTCAGTTTCCTCAAAAATTTTAATTTCTAAACGTCTTTTAGGTTTACTCCTATAAACTGGCTTCCATTATCTGTCTGTGTATTAGAATCAACGAGTTAAAATGGGTTTATACTCACATCTGTTCCTCTTTCTCCCTCACTATATCTTTATTTTTAGCCATACCTACAAGTGTTTTAAACCCCCAGCTTATAAAGGGGTTCCCTCATGGTTTTTTATTCTATTTTGGCAAATTTTTATTTTATTATATTTATATTGTAGTTCAGTTTTTAAATGCAAATCTCTAAATCTACTTGAAATTTATTCAAATACATGAGGAGAAAAAATGGTGCTTTATGTTATTTTCTTCTGTTTTGTTAGTTATCCTAACACTAATTATTGACAGTTCATCTTTTTTCCATAAATTTGAGTTGACAACTTTATTGCATATTAAATTCTCAAATATAGTTGGGCTATTTCTGAATTTTCTATTCTGTGTCATTGGCCTATATGTGTTTTCATATGTGTATACCATATTCTTTTAGTGATGCTATACATTATAAAGAGAGACCAAATAAAATGTAAGGTATAATTTTAGGTGTTAATATGATTCTAAAGATACCATCTCATGCCAGTTAGAATGGCGATCATTAAAAAATCTGGAATCAACAGATGCTGGAAAGGATGTGGAGAAACAGGAATGCTTTTACACTTTTGTGTAGAGTGCAAATTAGTTCAACCATTGTGGAAGACAGTGTGGCAATTCCTCAAAGGTCTGGAAATAGAAATTCCATTTGATCCAGCAATCCCATTAGTGGGTATGTACTCAAAGGATTATAAATTATTCTATTATAAAGACATATGCACATGTATGTTCATTGTGGCACTGTTGAAAATAGCAAAGACCTGGAACCAACCCAAACGCCCATCAATGTGGCATATATACACCATGGAATACTATGCAGCCATAAAAAACGACAAGTTCATGTCCTTTGTAGAGACATGGAAGCATCTGGAAACCATCAGTCTCAACAAACTGACACAAGAACAGAAAATCAAACACCACATGTTCTCACTCATAGGTGGGTGTTGAACAATGAGAACACATGTACACAGGGAGGGAAACATCATACACTGGGGTCTGTTGGGGAGTTAGGGGAGGAACAGCAGGGGGCAGGGAAGTTGGGGAGGGATAATATGGGGAGAAATGCCATATATAGGTGATGGGGGTATAGAGGCAGCAAACCACCTTGCCATGTATATACCTATGCAACAATCCTGTATGAGCTGCACATGTACCCCAGAACCTAAAATACAATAAAAAACAAAACAAAACAAAACAAAAGATCTGGGATGAACTCTTTCCTGTCCTTACAATGAGAATAATGCTCAAGAAATTGAAAATTTATGTTTTCTTAAAATGACCTGAAAGCTGATGTTGAAGGGCAAATCACTTACCCAATGTCTGGAGAGAAACAATTATCTTCAGGGAGAAAAAAACACTCAGGTATTTTCTTGCTTAGTGCCAACCCAAATGGATACCATAATAGCCAGTAAGAAAATCTCCAGCCCTGTGCTGATCAGAGCAAGAGAAAAAAAATTTGGCAAGATGAAAATTAAAGAAAAGCTATGGAACCTGTCTAAAGTATTCTTAAGGAATAGCGAAGGGGTATTAAACATATTAGTAAAAGGAGGTAGTGGATTTTATTTAAAAAATTAAATACTTTCATATTTATTCTCAAAAGTAAAGATTCATCATTGACCTGGTTAAACCATTATCCTCCAACTTTCTTGACAACATCAAGTATGAGAAACAAAACGAAGACTAAGATAGCTAAACAATAGTCAACATTTTAATTTTGTGCATTAGAGATTATTATAGGATGTTGATTTCTTGGAAAATAATATGCAGGATATCTGCTGTACATAAAGTCACTATCAAATGTCAGGAGCAAAAGGTCTGGTATCTGGAGGTCAAATAAGAGAACCAGTGAATTAGTAGCATGAAAACAATGCTTAGCTTAAGCCCCCATTATCTGGCTCTTTC